CGTCCTCAAAATAATGCAGAAATGTTTGTGTGTGTAATCCTGAGTCAGGAGTGTAAAGGCTTCCACCAAACACACACACACAATGTCATCGTACATTCCTTGCGAGGACTTCCGTAGTTTTCTATTTTAATTTGTTTGTATCACTGTAGCCGATCACCGATCTAACCCTAAGCCTAACCCTCGTGAGGGTATTTAGGATTACAAGACACACACAGACAGACAGACAATGCTCCCAAACAGGCTGCAGTTGGTCTGAAGATCTGTGCAGATAACCGAGTTCACCACCTGGAAGTGCAGACAGAGGCCGTCGTGTTTGTGTAGAGCAGGAAGAGCCCTGTTAGCAGAGCAGACGTGCTGGATCATGAAGAGCAGCGCCGGCTCTGCTGGAGGACTTTATTGTTGTCTCTCTGTTGGCCAGCGGCTTTCATCACACAGCGCACCCCATCTACAACTGTTTGAACACGTGCCAGAACGTGTAAGAGTGCTGAGCTGGTACGGCTGATTTATCACACACACACACACACACACACACACACACAGAGCAGGGCTGGGCTGGAAGATTAATCGCTTTATATCAACATCAGAACCGTCAAATCACAAGAGCTGCAACTTTTATCATAGCCTACATTATTAACACTGTTATCTTAGCGCAGGTGTCGGCAACATGTTTCTCTGGAGCTGCATGCGGCTCTGTTACTGCCCTGTTGTGGCTCCACAGCAGAATCAGATTAGTAGGTAAAAATAAAATAATCCTCTTTACAGTAAAATAAAGCTCTGCTGATCGTTCAACACAGTTTAACAATAAATGGTCTTAAACTCTGGAGTTAATGTAGAACTGCTAATTCACCCTTTAACCCTGAAGATCAGTGCAGACTGCTGGTCACCATAGCAACGCAGACAACAGTCTCGCCTAGCTAGTAGCTAACGAAACGACAAAGAGAGAGATTTAAGACGAACATCAATAATTTGGAGATGAATGGACTTATTTGTGTTTATAATCACTCCAGCTGGTTTCCTGATACGTTTAATCTGCAACGAGAAACTGAAACACTAAAAAGTCCTGAAGCTGAAGTTTCTCATTCGCCAGCTTCTTGTTCGAATTGCCCCGTTCCACCTTAAATAGTGCAGCAGTTACATTCTGGCCCCTCAGGCACCATTTAAGGTGGAACAGGAAAATTCTAACAAGAAACTGGAGAATGAGAAGCGACTTCAGCCTGGTAAAAAGTCGTACGTTGAAAGACATTTTACAAGAAACTGTTCTACTTTTATGGAAAAGTTTCCTGTCAGAGATGTGAGAAAAGCGGCTATAGCTGAGCTGAAGCTAAAAGCAGAGCGAAATAAGTCTGTGTTTTTGTTTATATTATACGTTTTAGTCTATATTAGTACATCAGCACATACTGAGACATATTTACAGCCAAGATGGTAAAATAGACATAAAGTGTTGAGGCTCCTAAGGTGGTTTGACTTTTGCTGAAAGGACAAAGTGGCTCTTCCTAACATATGAGTTGTTGACCCCTGACTTAGCATAATGTAAGTGGGGAAAATGTAACAACACGGAGCTCATAAACCACCTGTAGATGGGTCAGACCAATCAGAAGCAACCAAACACCCACATACTGTGACATCACAACCACAGCTAACTGGCAGTCTGGTACACTAGGTTCAGCCTCAAGCCATGAAAAGTAGATAAGCCCATCTTTATGACCCAAAAAAAGGCCTCAATTTATAGAAAACACAATTTAAACACAGTCACCACACTGGTCAGAAAAATCCTAAATATTTTGGGGGGAAATCACCAAAACACAAAGACACAATCTACACTGACCAGCCTGCAGACCAACAATCACACCAAACTACCTGCTACACTGAACTATCGCTTTAAATGTACCTGGTTTCTGACACTGTACACTGTCAAAAAAGGTGGTTCTTCAAGGGTTCCTCAGTAAAGATGATGGTTCTATACAGTACCATTAACACTTTACATGGTTAAATGGTTCTTTGGATGGTGAAAAGGTTCTTCAGAGAATGTGTTGTATTTGGTTCTATATAGCACCAAAAAGCATTCTGCTAATGTTACAATGTCAAGCTTGTAACAGAAGAACAATTGTTGGTGCTGTATAGAACCCTATACAACACATTCTCCCATCAATCTGAAGAACCTTTTCACCATCCAAAGAACCATTTAAGCATGCAGTGATCATGATTCTACATAGAACCACTGTCTTTGCTAAAGGACCATCTTTTTAAAAGTGTATGTTATCTACAGTTATCTGATTATTCGAATGGTCATGTAAACAACACACTCCAGTGAAGAAATCCGATTAAGAAGTAATCAGATTTCTCAGGGCATGTGAACTCTTACTCTGATTTCTTTCGGGTTTCTCAGTCTGCACATGTGCAAAAACAGACGGTGGTACTGGAAATAAGCGAGCAGCGTCGCTGCGAAACCAAATACATGCTTGACGACATGAAGGATTTAAATATTCTTCATCTTCTAGATGAAGTTTGTTCATATCTTCAGGTAAAGAGGTGCAATTTTTTTTTTAGTTTTATGTTATGTTTACGTTGCGTCTTCTTCTGTGAGTTATTGGCCGGTTGTAAAGCAGAAATCTGATTACTGTCTGACTCATGTAGACCTGGAGTTTCCCCATGATCTGATTACTCAAGAGCATGTAAACGTGTTGATCAGATTACTGACAAAATCTGATTTTCTGCAGTTATCGGACTATTAAGTGCATGTAAACACACCGAGTGAGTCACATAATCAAGTCTATTACAGATTATTTTGACTTCTTTTATGACTTTGGCCTGTAGCTCAAGTGCAAAACTAAAGAAGTAAAGCAAACCTGTCTCGACCGATCGACTAGATTTGAGATCAGGGTATGAATTTGACTTTTCCCAACTATCGCTTTAAAACTCCCACATAGCTCCAGCCTTATTTACCTGGACTTAAACAGCCAGTCATTCTTAAAGGTCTTTACATAGACGGAGCTTCACGCTTCAGCAGCACAACGGCTTTAAACTCAGATGGTTAAAACAGGTCTGATCTGTCTGATAAGCCAAAAACACACACTGGTATCAGGCTCAGGATCAGACTGTGTGGGTGAGGACGTGCAAGACAGACGCTCACTATCAGATCCTCACCCTCACCAAAAGAGTCATACGCACGGGCGGACACACACATGGGCACACACACACAGGCACACACACAGGCACACACACAGGCACACACACAGGCACACACACAGGCACACACACAGGCACACACACACGGGCACACACACGGGCACACACACACACACATGGACACACACACACACGGGCACACACACACACACATGGACACACACACACACGGACACACACGGACACACACACACACGGACACACACACACACACTGGCACACACACACAGGCACACACACAGGCACACACACGGGCACACACACACGGGCATGCACATTGACACACACACGGGCACACATATTGATACACACATGGACACACATGGACACACACACACACAGGCACACACACACACGGACACACACACGGGCACACACACACATGGACACACACATGGACACACACACGGGCACACACACGGGCACACACACGGGCACACACACACATGGACACACACACGGGCACACACACGGGCACACACACGGGCACACACACACGGACACACACGGACACACACACACACACACGGACACACACACACACTGGCACACACACACACTGACACACACACGGGCACACACACACGGGCATGCACATTGACACACACAGGCACACACACACGGGCACACACACACGGGCATGCACATTGACGCACACACACACGGGCACACACACACACACACACACACACACACACACACACACACACACACACACACAGGCACACACACACACACAGGCACACACACACACGGACACACACACACAGGCACACACACACGGACACACACACACAGGCACACACACACACACAGGCACACACACACACACAGGCACACACACACACGGACACACACACACAGGCACACACACACGGACACACACACACAGGCACACACACACAGGCACACACACACACGGACACACACACCTAGGCACACACACACAGGCACACACACACACGGACACACACACACACAGGCACACACACACAGGCACACACACACACAGGCACACACACGGACACACACACACACGGACACACACACACAGGCACACACACACAGGCACACACACACGGGCACACATGCACACGCACAGGTACACACATATTTTCAAATGACGTTCTAGGAAGCTGCACAAAATTACCACATCTTAGATCTGTCTAGAACCAGATGAATGTGGCTGATTTCATAATGATGAACAAAGATAAGTACAGTACATCACTGAGGTTCTAATAAAATTAATATACAGACTGAAGCTCTAATAAAATGAATGTACGGAATCATCTCTAGTAAAATTAATATCCAGAATGAAGTTCTAATAAAAATAATATCCAAAATGGATAACAAAATTAATATCAGAATAAAGTTTTAATAAATTTGAATTTCTAACAAAATTAAGACACAAAATGCCTCATAATTTAATCAATTTATCATAAAGACTTTCTTGTGATTGTTTTACTGTATGTAACTTTTCTTTTTCTATCCCAACTGAAAACCCCAGCTTTTCTTTACAGCATGTGAACATTTCAGAATGAACGGATGATAAAAAGTGCTCCAAAATGAGATGGAAAAAATCTCATTATTCTCATTTATGTCACGACTATTGTTTATTATTATTCATCACACGAACGTACATTAAAGATAAGAACTAAGCCCTGAAGCAAGAAGTTACTGTATCAGAGATATAACCATAGATTTATCTATATTAAGTGATGGCCAGTCTACCTTGTTTATTACCGTATAAATGAAGACGTATTAATATACTAAGTGGTTGTACAGTACCGAACATCAGTGAGCAGGTACAGTACCTCCGTCCAGGCTGCGTGAGATGCGTTTGCTGGAGGTCCGTTCGAAGTACGGCGCCGGCCGGTCGATCAGAGAGCTGGCCTGCCGCGTCTGAGCCTGCGTTCGGCCGCTGTAGCGGAACTTCGAGCCCAGAGTCAGGAACTTCGACTTGACGGGCTGCTCCGGGTTCGTCAACCTGAAAACAAGGTTTAATTTAAAACGTGAAAAACACACTTTAGAATCAACACTGGGCCTGTTTATATAAAAGCACCAAAACATCAATTTCAAACGATTTAAACATTATTTTACAGTAAACACAGAGGGACACTCTGGGTTCGTCAACTTAAAACACTATTTTGCAGTACAAAATTTGAGCTGTTTCTGACTCAAGAGCTTAAAGACAACAGAATATGAGAAAACACCAAACTTTAAAACACAAAAACTTCATCTGGAGATGATTTCTGAGTCTTAGGCCCAATCCCAATTTCACCCCTCGCCCCTACCACTTAGCCCTAACCCTCCATTTCTCGTCTAGGGGTAGGGTGTCCCGATTCTTGTTGAGATAGAGGGGTAGGGTGAAGTGTTGGGGCTACATGACCCTCCAAACAGAGGTTTTTCAGAGACTCCAAACAGAGAGTTATGAGAAAGAAAGATAAACCAGCAAGATGGAGAACAAGAGACCAAAGAAACCCACAAATGTGAGAATTTTCACTGTTAATTGTTACGATAATTATTATATTATCTTAGTTTAATGTTGTTTCAATATATTATGGTCCTTTTCTTCATAGCAAGCATAAAAAAAATGCTAGTAGTGCTGATGTCTCAGTAGCTAACTTTCCCGTTCCACCTTAAATGGTGCAGCAGTTACATTCTGGCACCTCAGACATCAGAACTGCTGCTCCATTTAAGGTGGAACGGGAAAATCTGAACAAAAACCTGGTGAATATCTGACTTCAGCTTCATATCACTGAAGAATTAGGGGTGGGTGATAATAAATAATTGCCCCCCTCTTTGAAGGCATATGATGCCCTAAATGTAACTAAAGCCCAGCAGTGAGGAGCTGAACTTTACCCTCCTCTGCTGTCACTGCAGACTGGCAGGGTCGCCTACAGAGCAGCGCTGGTAGTTGTTAATGAAGTAATACCGGCTGCCATTTACTGTGTGTCTGAGTTTCATGATGAATGACCCACTCAAAAATGATTCCATTAACTTCCATTCAGAGTCAAGAGTCCTTCTCCTGTCGTGGAGATACGAGGTCTGAAACCACACTGTATGAAACGACACAGTGACCAGAAACACAACCACACCATCCTCTACATTCTCGATGTGCGGTTTTACCTTGAAAAGTCATGAGCACCGTCCTCTATGTGTGTCTTGGAAAAGGATTTCAAGTGTTTAAGCTTCAGACTTCAGATAACATCAACACTTCAGACGTTTGTCTGCTTCTGTAAACATGCAGTCAGTAGAGCTTTATTCTCCACACAGCCTGACTGCAGGCGCTGAACACGGAGATACAGACTCACCATTAGAGGAGGACATAATAAGCTCTGTTTCATTCAGGGGTTTGGTCACCTGCATCACATCGCATCACATCACATCACATCGCATCGCATCGCATCACATCACATCACATCACATCACATCGCATCACATCACATCTGTATCAGTTACATCAGTTTGTTCAGACTGATCACTGTCTAAATGAGGGACAAAATCAGCGAGCGAGGGAGAGAGAGCGAGAGAGAGAGAGAGAGAGAGAGAGAAAGAGAGAAAGAGAAAGAGAGAGAGAGAAAAAAAAAGAAAGTGAGAGAGAAAAAGATAGAGTCAGAGAAAGAAAAGAAAAAGAATGCAACAGAGTGAGAGACAGAGTGAGAGAGTGAGAAAAAAGATAAAAATGAAAAGAGAATTAAAGATGAAAATAAAGAGAAAGAAAAAGAAAAAAGAGAGAAAAACAGAGAGAATGAGAGAGAAAGAAAGAGAAACAGAAAGCGAGAGACAGTGAGAAAAAGAGAAAAATAAAGAGAAAGAAACAGAAAAAAGGAAGAGAGAGAAAGGAAAAAAGAGAAAGATAACAAGAGAAAGAGGGAAAAAGAGGGGGAGAAAAAGAGAGAGAGAGAGAGTATTTGTGCTTCTCTGGAAGGCAAGAGGAGACAGAAGAGAGAACAGAGAGAATAGAGGGATAAGAGGAGACAGAAGAGAGAATAGAGGGATAAGAGGAGCAGAGAAGAGAGAACAGAGAGAATAGAGGGATAAGAGGAGACAGAGAAGAGAGAACAGAGAGAACAGAGGGATAAGAGGAGACAGAGAAGAGAGAATAGAGAGAATAGAGGGATAAGAGGAGACAGAGAAGAGAGAATAGAGAGAATAGAGGGATAAGAGGAGACAGAAGAGAGAATAGAGAGAATAGAGGGATAAGAGGAGACAGAAGAGAGAATAGAGAGAATAGAGGGATAAGAGGAGACAGAGAAGAGAGAATAGAGAGAATAGAGGGATAAGAGGAGACAGAGAAGAGAGAATAGAGAGAATAGAGGGATAAGAGGAGACAGAG